GAAGACGTCGGTTTTTTTTTTTTTGGTTCTGGTTTCTAATTTATTTCTTCTTCTCACGGTGACGGAAGGTTTTTATTTTCCTCTTCTTTGCAGTTTCTTTCTTTTTTTATTCTTTTCTCTTATGCTTATCTTTAAAAATAATTTATTACTTTTTTATTCATTGGTTTATTGAGCTTTCTACCAGCAAATATTTTATTTAGTTTTAATTGGAAACACATCCTAATTATGAGAACGACGTCGTAAATTATTGCTTTAATTAATTAACACAAATCTTTTGATTTCTCTAATTACTACTTTTGATATAAGAAGATCGCTTTTGTCTTGTACCAAACCAAAGCATGCTATTGAATTTAACCCAAAAAAAAGCATGTTATCATCAGCCATTAATGAAGATTATGACTTTACTCTAACACAAACAATTTCGTAAACTCTTAATCTTATACCGCGTTCTAATTAACTTCTATTCGGCGATAAAAGAAAAGTTAGGCAAAACTAATGAAAATAAGTCAATGACTATGATTTAGCTTCCAAAAAACTCATGTATTTTAGCGTAATTTAGCACATCGTTTTTGAAAGCTAAATATATTAATAATAAACAATTTTGTAAATTTTTCATTTTATACCACATTTCTAAAAATGAGCAGTGAAATAAAACCGAGCGAAACTAACAAGATAAGACAGTGGGTATGCTTTAACTTCCAAAAACAATGTGTTTGTTATTTTTTTTTTTGCAAAATTTAGCACATAGTTTTGGTATGACATTTTCACATAGTTTTGGTAATGACATATTCTGATATGGCATAACTTTTTTTGTGACGGAATACAGTAGAAATCCGAGGAGGCAAGTAACCCATACGATGCGAATATTTATAGTGAGGTGCTTCCCATGTGCCTTTTTTTGTTGAACCACCATGTCACCTAATTATGCCCTATTAATCATTTCAGTTTCTGTTTATGTTAAGAAAAAAACATTATAAAAATACAGCCATATCTTACCGATTCTTTACCATAGCTTTACTAAGCTAAGAATAATCATTTAATACGATGTATTGTAACAAGAAGAAACTAGTATATGTTTCTTTAATCACACAATAGAT